TGTAGTATACATTACTCACTCTCCTTAAGGTTTCAGGGTATTCTGGCATGTCTACATTTTCCATGATGTGCCATAGGCAAGGATTATTTTGGTGACATTTTACATGGAACAACTGTATAGTTAGGAGAAATGTTAAACAAACTAAGCATACCACTTTCTGCCTGAAAGCTTACCTAACATCTCTCCCAACTATACAGTCTGGTCAAGGAGCCCAACCAATAGAGGAGAATAAGAGTAGGAAGTATCTTAGCAAAACTGAAGATTGCCACTGCAGAATTTCAAAATTAGTTTTTTTGGCTTTGGGGCTCAGTTTTTCAACCAAAATTTTCCATTTTGTTGAAAAGCCACTTTCCCATTGTAAACATGTTTCAATGAGAGAACATTTTCAATTATCCCTACTACACTGGTATAACTGGTAAGGGAAAATGAGCAGAACACCAGTCACGGGCATTATCTCAGTGTTGGTACCAGAATGGTGGCCTTCCCTAGGGAGTCTATTCCCCAGCACCAGCAACAAGCCTGCTCCACTGGCACTAATACAGCAGCTAGATGTCAGAGTTCCCTCCAGACCACAGGACCACTGCTGACAAAAACTCTGACCACTAATTCCCACTCACCAGAGATAAGCAATTTGGCTAAGTAGGTAGATCGGGAGTGGCCCCACGTAGCTCAGAGCAGACTTAAAAAGAGTCTTAGATTGTCCTGAAACTGAAAGCTTGAGTGCAGCTCCAGGACATGCTCTCAGGACGGTTCTGCCCCATCTACTCTGACTAATTACTGAGGTCTGGTGCACCAAAGTGGGAGTTAGTAGGTTGGGCGTGTTTTGTCAGCAGTGGGCCTGGGATTGGGAGGTGTCACAGGGCGGGGATCCAGCAGCGGCCGTGATCTCTCCTGGCGCCCCCTACCATGCCAAGTTGTGTGTCAAGCACCCTTGTTCTCGCCCGCCACGTCTTTGATGGTGAAAGTATTGTAAGGGAGGCTGCCTTTCCTTTACCCCTTGGCCACGGTGCTCGTATTTACCCTGGCCCTTGTCCCCCGTAGGTCGATCTTGTGCCCCCACCTTATGGGCTGTGCGTGGTTCCTACCACCTCTTATACCACGCCCCAAGCCTCTCAGGTGTGCCAGACATTGTTAAGTCTATTGTCTTCTCTTAGCGGCCCTCTCCAGGGCCTCTCCCCATACGCTCGCTTTCTCCGGGGCTTCTACCCATATGCTCGCCCTCTCTGGGGCTTCTACTCTCATGCGCCCTCCCTGGGGCTTCTTATTCCCATATGCCCTCCCTGGGGCTCTACTCATGCTCCCGCCCGCACTGGGGCCTTGCTCGCGCTCCCCTCCCTGGGGCTCTTATCCTCGTTCGCCCACACTGGGGCCTTGCTCACGCTCCTGCCCGCACTGGGGCCTGTCTCTGTGCTCCTGCCCGCACTGGGGCCTTGCCTCACACTCACTCCCACACTGGGGCTCTGCTCAATAGGGCTCAGGCAACCTCGGCCTTACCTGGCCCTCAGGACCCCTTTCCAGGTCCTACACCCCACTGGGGCTTTCCCACACTTGGGGCTCAGGCAGCCTCGGCCTTACCTGGCCCTCAGACCCCCTTTCCAGGTCCTACACCCCACTGAGGCTTCTTGTCTGCACCCACACTGGGCTCCTCCCGATATTGCCCACACTGGGGCCGGGGTTGGGACACCCCAAAATGCAGCACCCTCTCCAGCACCAGGAACCCCCCCCCACTACTGGGGAGCTCCCATGAGGCCTCCTCAAACCCCTACAGCCTCACCCATTCCTCTGGTGTAACAATAACCAGAGCCATAAGCCAATCAGCTGTAACACAAAACCCAAGCCTCTTGGCTAAAACATAAACCCTAAGCCCTCTGGCTCATCAACATTACCATCCCTGCCAGGGGTTCCTCTGCCTGGTATTCTCGCTCATAAGCTACTCAGGTCATCAGGCTTCTCCTGCCCTGCTTGCTCTGGCAGAGCTCCACCTTCCTCACTGCCAGAGGGGAACTGCCCACTTGGCCTCCACTTAGGCTGTTTATATGAGCCAGGCCCTGCCCCCTTCTGGTCAGCTGAACTCAGTGGTTGCCCCGGCAACCCACACCTGTGTTTCTTTAGGAGCAGGCACTTCAGTGCACTGCGACAGGAGGGAAACTGTGTGGCCATGCCCTCAACCCTAGCCTAGACAGCTCTGACAGCCTGATACGAAGAGATTCTTATTCCTTTTGATTTTAAGGACCATGTAAACCTTCTTTATACATTGACCTGGAACGTTTGAGCATAGGTGACATTCTGGGGTTCACACAGCAAAGACGCTTTATATTTTAAGTTGAATACAGCACTGAAGCATTAGCATGTTTCTGTGTATGTATGCTTTGGCAGGTTCAAACTTCATAGGCAACATTATTTATATAGCTGTGTCACTATGAAAATAATGTAGGAAATGGTACAAGCCAGTAAAAGAAAAACAAAGAAAGTCATTTTGAGAGATTACTCTGGCGATTGCCTTCTAAGATGAATTTTCTTTTACAACTCACACACGCTTAGTAATGGCTCATTAAGCCAGACTATTAACATTGTTTTGATTAAGCTTGTTTTTAAATTTTATTTAATCATATAGCCCTATAATGTCTGCAGTATAAAAACCATTATTCCCCTTTATTAGTACTACAAATAATAGTGCTTATGCATACTGCATTACACATTTTTTTTACAAACATTAACTAATTATTGTTCCCCCCAAACTTCAGTGAGGTAAGTGACTATGTATTATTGCAATAAAGATAAGTTAGATATTATAATAAGATGTTGACTCCTTAAGGCCTTTTATAGTTGTTATGCCTGGCCTGAATCAGATTTCACACCAAAATAATGAAGGAGAAACACATTTGGTATCAAGTGAGTTATACCAGAGTGGCAGTTTAGCATTGATGTTCCTGACAAAATTATAACTGGATATCAATGGGATTTCTGCTTAAATAGAGTAAGAGTTTCTGGATTTTATTATTATTATATGCAGAAAATAGGACAAACAGGATGGTTATTGGCTGAATGGTGTTGAAGAAGCCAGTGTCAGAGTCAAGGTGAAGTTACACATTACACTTAAATTATACTAAATTTGTGCAATATTAAGTGGTGTTAAATTTAGAATGTGCTGTGGGAAGTTGCACATGAAGTATTAATACTGTTTCTTGCCTGCATAGCTCTGGCTTGCCACTAGAGGCCTGACAAGTAGGAGCCAGGGCATCTGAGCTGTATCCCTGCTCAGAGGGAGGGAGCTGGGGGAGGTAGACTACTGCATCCTGGGATGCTGGAGGACTGCAATTTGCTCATTTTATCTCTGCGGAGCAGACTGAAGTTATCCTAACATAAGCTAGGCAGCATGGGCCTGAGTTAACTCTCCTCTACAGTGGCGTAACTTTATGACACTCAGAGGACACTTAGTACGAGTTAATGAACTTTCATGTGTGGATGCTTGCATTTTAAGTGCCCTTAGTATGGTCTAAGTATAACACAGGACTTCACCCTAGGACTAGAATGCTCCCAGTCCCTTCCTACCATTCCATTGATGAAATTGGAAGGAAATACTTTTTTACACAATCATTATGTACTTTAAAATGGATTTATCACTGAAACTAGCACATATTTGAGAAAAGAACATAAACTAGAAACTAAATATTTCTATGTACTGAACAATATTGGTTTCAAAGAATGTTTGTTGGATTTGTTCCTTTGCCTATTATTTTCTTGCAATATCAGATTATGTATAGTTCATTTTTTAGATACCAAGGAAAAATTACTGACCTTTTCTTTATCTTACCTTGTACTAAAATAGACTAAAATTCTTTATTTTAATTTTTTCTTAAGGAATAAGAGTTATGCTATGTATACAGTTTTTCCCAAAGTACTGTTTTTAGGAAGGATAAATGAATGCCTGGTTCTCATGTTCACAAAGAGTATGTGGGTGGTATCTAGGGAGAACCTGGAGATTATGGTCCTGTGCTTAGCACAGTAATGAATTAGTTTTCTATTATTTCCTATTCTCAGTTTTTTCTCTGTCATGAGGATTTCAAGTTTTCCTATCTTCTATTCTTATTAGAGTCTGTGTCATGAGGATGAGTTATCATAGATATTAATTTGCCTAATATAGATTTCCTTTCTCATTATACATTCTTGTGGTAACACCCGTAATAACAGCAGAAATTTGGCACTTTATTAATCCATTTTCATGATAAAGACCCAAATGAAAAAAACATGCATAGTACAAACATTAATCAATTCTTTAGACACTCTGCACTTCTTAACATGAGATGCAAATTGCCCATATGTTCTCTTTTTCCTGGCAAAAACACTAAAGGAAAACATGCACTGGACCCATTCTTGTGATCACCTGAACAATGTAGTTCTGTGGTTCATCATAAACAATGTGGCAAGTAGAACTGGAAAATATTGCACATGTTCAATGAGCTTCTATATAAAATATGTGTGTGTATTGAATCTAATCACCCCTTGATTGTATGGAAGTTGGCAACAAATTCCATTTATGTTGAATAACATACCTTCTAGATTTTTTTTTTAATTACATACTTTCCTCTCAACACAGCAAAGGAAGCAATAGCATTATGATGACCTAATAAATTAATATTTAAAATATAGAAGCATGCACCAGGTTCCAAAAAGACTAATATCCAAGTAACTGAAAACATACTTGAACTTACATTTTAAAGGTGAGCAATAGATACCCTGAACATCGTTTTTCACTAAAGCCTCATCTGTGAGATTCTATATTTGAGTACAGAAGCAAATTCAAAGAGGTAAGTTTCATTAATGGCATGGCTATTCACCTGTTGTTATTAATACAGTACTTGATTTTGAAAATATAGCATTAATAGAAAAGTTGTGAGAAATTCATAAGGTCTACCTCTGTTATCTTTATGCCAAAATCATGCTGGATTGAATTCTACTCAGCAGTTATAGATTTCTTTATAATTTTTTTCCTTGTTCAGTCTTTGGAAGACCAAGTATGGGATCTTTTACGTGAAGCAGACAAGACAGCAGAGGAGAACAAAGAGCAAAGCCAGGTGTATGATGCTATGGCAGAGACTCTTGGGGATGCCTGGGATGCCCTCGTCATTGTGCTGGAGAAGCGAAGGAAACTTCTGAAAATTACTGCAGTGTTTTTTGAAAATGCTCTGGAGGTTTGTATTTAAGACCAAAGCTATTAAATTAGAAACAAATTTCATAGATTTCACAGACATTAGAGCTGGAAGGGACCTTGGAAGATCATCGAGTCCAGCTCCCTGCCCAAGAGGCAGGAAGTCAGCTGGGGTCATAGGATCCCAGCAAGATAAGCATCCAAATTTCTCTTGAAGGCATTCAATGTGGGTGCTTGAACCTTCTCCGATGGCAGGCTATTCCAGACCTCAGGGATTCGGACAGTAAAGAAATTCTTCCTTATGTGCAGCCTGAAATGGTCTTGCTGGAGTTTATAACCATTTGACCTGGTCATCCCTTGAGGCACTCTGGTGAACAAGTGTTCCCCCAGGTCCTGATGAACAACCCTGATAAATTTATAGGTGGCCACCAGGTCACCCCTGAGCCTGCACTTTTCCAGGCTAAAGAGCCCCATGGCTCTCAGCCTGTCATCGTAAAGTCTGTTTTCCTGACGTCTGATCATGCGCGTGGCTCTTCTCTGGACTCTCTCAAGCTTCTCCACATCCTATGTGAATTGTGGAGCCCAAAACTGGATGCAACACTCCTCACCAAGGCCAAGTACAAGGGGAGAATGACATTCCGGGATTTACTTGAGAAGCATCTATGGATGCAAGCCAATGTTTTGCTCACTTTACTAGCTGCAAATCTCAAATCCTCCTGCTTTTTATTCTATTGTTCTTCTATTTTGTTGTAGTTGTTCATCACACTCATGAACGGCCAGCTACTAATCCCCAAATACACCTTTTTTCTGGTCTCTGGCTACTTCAAGATAAAGCTAAACAAAATATCATTTAGGCTGAATAGCTATAGTGAAGTGATGTTTCCAAATCATGCTGTACTTGGCAAGCGAATAGCAACAATAATGAAAAATTAGTCTGGATCAAATACTTGGAATAGATACTGTGCTTATGTGATAGATGTTTTTCTATAGATCCTCTGTGCTTCGCATTATGTGAAAGCATTATGGACAAGTTCTTAAATCCAGAAGTTCAAAGCTGTGCACTCAAATGTGTTGTATGGTTGTCTCCACTCTGCTTCCTCAGTAGTCATTTTCCTGTCCAGGCATTGTGTGCTCACAAATATAAACATATGGTGCAAGCACGCAAAAGGGGATAAAGCCAAAGTTCAAGTCCTAGAAGAAAGGGGCCTAGCAATAAATACTCCATCTTGACCCTCTCCCTACATATTTTCCCCTGTTCCATTACCTCCATTATCCTGCAGATTGGGACTCCAAATTCCATAGCACATGTTTCCCTTCCTCCCTCCATGCCCCCATATATTGAAATTAGAAAAGCCACAGAATTGCTGCTAATGGTTAGCTTCCAGCAATTCCCAAAAGTCATTCCAAAATCCAGGGATAAGTCAGATGCAAAGGTGTCCTATCTCTCTCTCATTCTGGGGACACTCAAGTGAGTTGTCACCACCAGAGGGATACCCCAGTGCAAAGAAAATTTTCAAGGGATTTTTTGAGTTGTATTGTTCCAGTGGCACAGAGAGATTTAAAGACAAGCAGCTGGAGTAGGGCCAAGAATCGTGTCTATTATATCTTGAAGCAAATGGGAAATACAATTGATTTAAATAGGAGTTCTAGAAAATTCTTTTTGAAGTGTTTTTCTTTAAATGACAATATGTGATTATGTATAATCTTATTTTTATTATCATAAAGCACACACTATCTCAAGGATATTCTTTAGTGAAAATCAACTCAAATCTCAAATGTTGAAGCATAATGGATTTCTTTCATAGGATAAATAAAATAGAGCAGAATATGTGACGAGACAGAGAAAGCAGAGAGCTTCTTTTTTGTACGCCTTAATTTCATCACAATTTTCAACACCTTTGATTACACAAGTTCAAATGTGAACTTTAATGATCTGTTCTGCCTTAATTTAGCAGCATCATTGCTAGAGACAAGGCTAAGCTGCAAAATTAGGACTGTTCTTTTAACAACTAAAAGTTTAATGTGATCAGGTCTGGAGTCACACCTGTAAAGATGAAAGCCAACCACAAAATTGGAATCCTGATTTGAATCCTGACACAAAGTTCAAGAGTGTTTGAATCTGGGGGTCTAATAATGGCTTTAGTAATTTTTACTGAATGTTTCTCTTACAGAAGAAAGAATGTGACATCAGCAATAGGTGATGCATAGATTTGTTCAATTGATTAATCATAAGCTACATCATTAAGTCACTGTCCAAAATCTCACAATTTAGTTTGGCTAGCAGTGCTTAGTGTCTTTCTAAAATGGCAAAAGACATCTGTACTTAAACATCTGACAACCATGAAATACAGAGTGAAGGCATGCACTAACATTTTATCTGGCTCATCAGTTTGGTTCAAAACCACATTGCTGTGTAAACTTGTACCCCAAATAACTTTTTATCATGGCTTCCTGTAGTTGAGCTCAATCCTGATTGATTAAATCAGTTTGAGGTGCAGACTCATCATTTAAGTTCATTTATGAAACCATACTTACCCAAATCCAACATGACCTTGAATTTAAGATGACTTCCCAATAATAAGACTGCACACATGGCAAATTATTCTATAGAGATATTATGGTAAAACTCATTAGCACCAGGACCCTATTTTGCCAGACTTGACATAAACACACAGGACACAGAAAAAAAAAATATCCAGATCTTCTAAAAAACACGTGTGTGCGCATGAATTTCAGCACCTAAGTAGTCACATTCACCTCAGGGCATTAAACATGTGCTGCGGGAGGACCTAGCTCTAGTCAGGAAAAACTGTCTCAAAGGCAGTGGGGCATGATTTAGTTTTGTGTGAAAAGGCAGCTCAGCCCAGTGCCTAAGGAGGTTTTCCTAGCTGTTCCTATTCCTGCTCTTAATAGAGTAGATAAAGGTGGAGGCATTCCCTGACAGCACAGCAGAGCTTGTCAGAATGCTTTCTGCTAGGCAGGCTGCAGATTGATTCCTGGCTCTTAAAGGAAGGGGTTTGCCACCAAGGAGAGGGTACAGGCCTCTGTGAGTGACAGGGCAGGGTGCCTGGTTTAGCCTTCCAGGTACTCCTGCTCCCTTCCTAAAGTCCCTGTGCTGTCCTGACACCTACTTTCTTCCTGCCATATCTTGACACCACCAACCATGCCATGCTGCCTTTCCCACCTCCTCTGGCCCCACTCTTCCCATCCCAGCACAGACCCCCCACCTGCTGCCTCTCCTCTCTCCCAGCCCTACAGCTCCATCCTAGCTGCTCCACCCTATCCCCTCCTGCCCAGGGCCATGCAGCCCTGCCCACCTATATGTGCAAAAAGGAGTTTTAAAAAAGACAAAATGTTGTCATGATTCTCAAGAACCCCTTACTGAAACAACTTCATACTAAGACCACCAACTCTGTTCTGAATCCTCGACATCACAATTTGCAAGACAATCTGAGTAAGCCTATGGATTTTAGAGTACCTAGAAAAATCAGCTGTTTAAATAGTAGGTAGTCTCAACCTTAACCATCATGGTACTACTACCATACTATAACTTGTTTGTTAATATGCATACCATCACATTCATTAATTGAAATTTACTACTTGCCATTATCTTCAAAATAGTGCACTGACAATTGTATCTGCCTCAAAAGATTTTCCCAAAAACTCCTTGCATTTCAGAATTTAATATGACAAGAAAGATCTAGAAGGGGAGCTTCAAATGAAATCTTATAGGGAAGAAAGAGCCTTATCCCATATATTATTAAAGAGTTTTTACACAAATCTTTAAAATTCACAGGTTCTACTTTAAAAAAACACTTGAACAATTTCCAGATACAGAAAAACTAAAAGCTAACTCATAAAAGCACAGACAATGATTACAAACTGTATCAGACAGTTAACCAGGACAGGGTTCCTTTAATGAAATCAGAACCATAGTGAAACAGAGGGCACAGTGTGGCATCAGATAAGTTTGTACTGTGAAGATGTGAGAGATGGGCACAAGGAATGGTAAAGGCTTCTTTAGAGAATTTGTTCCAAAAGCCATAGGTTGGAAATATGATGACATGTTGTACATCATGGCCCACTGCATTGTGCTTCTTTCTCTTGGTTTTCCTAATGCAGTTTGCTATTAAAATTGACCAAGTTGAGGAGTTCCTCCAGAATTCCCAGGAGTTTGAGGATGTCGCATCTTTGAAAGAGCTCCTTCAGCAGCATGAGCACCATACAAAAGGTGAGAAAAAGACTCCTTTCTCTGGTAAGTAGTGCATCTTCAAGCAATTATGAGTTTGAATTGCTAGGTTTTGAAAGGTATTTTTGGCTTTTTCAAATTAAAAAACAAATAAAATGGCTTTAAGATGATAATTTCTGTTATGGGTGTTTCTTTAGTTAGAAAGATCAGGCAAGGAGAAATTCTCAGTGCAGTGTTACATCATAGATGCGAAGTACTGATCCTATTAATAATAGGCCCTATTAAAAATAATGCTGCACCAGCTATTTCCAGCTCCGCCTCCTCTCTTCTCCCTTCTGCTGCTTCCCTATTTTCCAGTTACTTCTTGCACTACCAATCTCCTCATCTGCCTCTTCAGTCTTCTGTTTTTCTTGGAAGTAAATGTGGGGAGCAGTTTGCTACAGTCTGGTGTCCCATGATTTGGCTCTTTCAGAAGAATGGTGTCAACCTAGAGTTGGACAAGAATCAGCATTACCCTTTGTTGGGAAAATATGACTGGTGGGGGAAAAGATCACTTAATTTCAAATAAAAACACAGACAATTGAAATTTCCATAAACCAGAAATTCCAAAAGACATTTTGAAATTGTTTTGAAAATTTCAGAATTAAATTTTGCTTGGGATCCCAAGGTCTGATGACAATGGGTTAGTCATGGTTTCTAGGCTTCCAGTTATGCCATCAGGAGCCAGGATGTTGTGAAAGCCCAAGTTTGAAATAAAGGTCTCAAGTTTCTAGGCTCCCCAGCGCAGATGCGGAAACCTAGACCCTCTAGGATTTACTGGAAGTCTCTTGTGTCTCCTTTCCAAGATAATTTACCAGGAAATCAACGTTTCTAACAGAAACCTGCCTGGCAGGCAAGTTCCAGAGCCCTGGTTCTGTCCTGTTTAAAAATGAATTGAAATCCTTACACCTCCATAAAATGATTTGCCCTTAATAAATTGGCATTTTCTGACAGAACATGTTCCACTAACACATTTCCAGCCAGCTTTATGCCAATCTTCTGGTGTTGTCCTACAATTTCTTGGGAGTGTGTTGGCTGCAGACCTGAGCCACCTTTGCAGCTTCAGGCCTGAGGGCTGAGATTTTGAAAGTGGCTCAAGAAGAATTGGGCCTGGAAATGAGCTCCTGCTGGCCTCTGGACAACCACATCATCCAGCTGCCGATCCTGGTTTCTCAGCATTTTTCTTGTGGCTTTGTAAGGCTGTGCTGTGTATAATATTCCTGCTGAGCTGTTTTGTCTCTGTTTGCCAGGAGCTTCCATTTCCACCTGACAAGGGTGGATTAGAGGTAGTCAGCTGGCAACATGGAAATAAAATCCTGGACTTGTACTCTACCCTGACAGTGCCTCATGAAACTCTCATTTGTTCTGCAGTGTTTGACCTTAGAAGCCGGACAAGTTCTTCCATGTTACAATAAATTGATCCATTCATCATTAATGTTGAAATTCAGATGTTTTTATGAATTAGCATTTTTGCCATTACTGACCTTTTTAAAAGTGAGGGGGCAGGAGCCTCCCCACCACTAACAGTCAATCTCTTTGCAGGAACCAAAAAATGTGTTGTTCAGAAATCTGTAATTCCACATAGAGCTCTAATTCTTTCTTAAGAATATAAATGGTGTAATTTTAACCAAAGGTTAAAGGAAACCTAACCACTGGCAGAGATTATAAACTGCATTTGTTTGTTCAGCAGCACAGTAGTAACTTGAATCTTTTTTTCAGTGTTTCAAAAATCTGGTTGGTTATAATGCTGGCATTTCGATAAAGATGCAGCTCTTCTCAAGAGACTGAATTGGGAATTGAGTTCAGGTAACTTTAATATGAGTGTGGCTGTCCCAATTCAGTCTTCATGGTACTGAAATGCTCATCATATTGCAATTTTAGCTCAGAATGCCTGGCAGTGAGTGATTGTCACTGTTGAAAAGAGGGTTCATGACTATAACAATCAAATAAAATAGTTTGCCAGAGGGAAGACTGGCTTGATAGGATGGTCCTTTTCTGGGTGGAAGGGAATGGTAGCAATTGTTCCCCTTCTTCTTTGTTTATATCTTTCTTTAAGTGCTAAGAGTTGGAAAATGGATGGTCATATATTTAATAAAAGTAATGTTTGTATTGTTCTCTGTCAGAAAGGCACGGCTGACTTAGCAAAGAAGCTGCTGCAGAAAAAATCCTACCTTCACAAAATATCAGGGCAACTAGGCTGTGTTAAGCAAAACTGGCTTCAAAATGAAAATTCTTCCTGCAGAAAAAAATCTCACCTTTAAAACATCTTTCTCCTTAATCAGCACAACAAGTAAAAAGAAATGTGAAGAAAAAAAATCAAAACTGAGTTTTTTGTCTTGACAGCTTTCTGTAGACAGCAGAAAATTAAGTCTGATATGATTTTTCCTGGAAAGCAGTGGGGGAGGGTAAGGCCCCTCTTGGCTGCTCATCTTCCTCCTCGCTCTAAGCTTCCCCATCTCTTCTCCAGACTGACTGCTGATAGGGACACTCAACCTTTTCCAGCCAGTCAAGAGGTCCAGCTGGCATATTCCACCTTTCTTCCCCTCTGTGCATCGAGGCTGTGATAGAGAAGCACAGGTGCTGAATTGCCCAGCTCTTTTCCTTCCCACTGCCTGGCTGTCTCTCCAGCAATTAGGTTTAAGGCAGACAGAGAACTTGGTTGCTGAGGAGGTACAGCAGGGGCTTTCATGTTAAGTCCTGTGGCAAAAGACTATTTCAATGATGATGCAATGGCAGACAGACAGGTTTTCACTGAACTGTGCCCATTAGGCTGGTGTCAAAACATGCTGGGTTGCCTACTAGCTCACCTGGTAAGGTGATGGGGAGCTGCAAGTTTGAAAGCCCTGCAGTTCCTTGGAGGCCATGCCCCTGGTTCCTTGGCAGCCTTCCCAGACAACTGCCATGGGCTGACAAGATCCCTGTTCTGAGAGAACCCAACAAGTAGATCTCCCCCCCAGATTTCCAGGTTTACTTTCTCTAATGCTCTGAGCAGCTGGAAACCTAGGAGATATTTCAAATACATCTAAGTATCTAAATAAAATTGTTTTGGCTTTTCCTGTTTTTCAGGAAACTTTGAACCCTTTGGTTCAATTTCAGAGCTATTTTTTACTGTTATTATTTTCTTAATGTTAGAAGCTCCTGTGGAATAGGAATTCCAGTTGCCAGCCAGCTTTCCTGCTCATTCTCTGGGTCATTTCTGTGCACGGAGAGTGGTATATATCTAAATTTGATTCACACTGGAAATGTCTGACCATTTCTTTCCCCTACCTTGACTCTGGGCTGCTAGGCTATCACCTAGTCCTTCTGAATACTGACACCAGTATCATCTATATGGTACCTTACTTGTCCTTCTGACTTCAATCAGGAACTTTCAAAATATCTCTGCTGCTCCCACTGATGCATGTCAAATTAAGCTACTTGTCTTTAACTGTCAAGTCTTGCCCATCTAGCACCTGACCTTTTCTCTATTCTGCCTCCTTTCACTCTCCCAAGTCACAGCATCTTCTCTACACAAGACCCTTACATGTACATTTCCAGTGTTTATCTGCATATCTGCATATTTCCATATTTGAAACTTTTCCTTAGTGCATCAAACACCTATCTCCTTCAAAACCCTTCTGGAGACATCCATCTTTCAAAGATGTACAAGCTCAGCCCTCTCCTCGAGGACTTCTTGATGGAATAGGAAAATAGCAGAGATGGTGATGGTGGGTTACAGAAATGTGTTGATCCACTGGACTTCACCCTTGCATGTCCACTGAAAACAGCCGATGGGCTACAGGAGCTCCCAACCAGGGGGAAGCTATATTCCCTCCCGAGCATCTGTATAGGTACTGCCTGTTGCTTGCATTTTGTGCAGAGGACCAGAATTATAGCTACTAGTCAACATAAAAAGCAATGTGGGCCATTTCCCCCTTTTTTCCCTGCAGTGATCTGCACAAACCTGTTAATCAAATGAAAGGAACACAAACTAGAAAAAACAGTATTGCTGTTGAGTTTGTGACATGGACTAGGGACAGAAGTTACACATGAACTGGAATAACTGATTAGAAACTGGTTCAAATCTGCAACACAACAGAAGTTCAGTGCACATAAACCACTTTCAAAGTGGCTGAAACTGTTTTAAGATAAACCTGGATGGATGTAGTATCAGACTTAACTGATTTAGCTTAAATAGATTTATTGAACTTCTGTCCCAGATCCCTCGAGATTCAAGTTAACACACAGTTCCCCAGCATCCCAGGATGCTTTGCACAGGGTGGCCAGGCTGCCCTTGGCCCAAGCTGTTTGCTCCATCTAAGCAGGGAGGCATGCTCTTGCACCCCTGGGCTTCTGGCCTGGGCCACTGAAGACATGTGGCTGCATTTCTGGAATCAAAAGTGAATGTTTATTCACTTGCTTGTCAGTTCAGTCTACACAGCTTAGACTAACCTGTGAAGATTGAATCGATTCAGCCTCAGGCCTTTGGACTATCTGTATTTATCCCTGCAGACTTTAAGAACATAAGCAGAGTCAGATCAATGGTCCATCTAGTCCAGTATCCTGTCTCTGACCATGGCAGTAGTAGATGCTTTAGAACAGAGCTGTCCAACCAGCAGTTTGCAAGGCTGCATGTGGCCTGTGTAGGGTTAATTCATGGCCCTGGCTCCTGGTCTAGACACTACTACCCCATCACTTTCCTGTTGCTAGAATCTCCAGGCTCCCCTTTCCTCCTCCAGATCCACTTCAAGCCCCCACTCCTAGGTGCCCAGAGAAGCCCATAGATTGAGGGGTTGGGGGACCTGAGGCCCCTTCACAGTGCAGGTGTTCCCATGTAGCACAGCACAGTGTGGAGCTGCACTTGGGTGCCCACTGGGTGGTGTATGGCCCGGGCAGCGTGCAGCCCATATGCTGTGAGCCAGCTACTCATAAGTTGAACAGCCCTGCTTTAGAAGGAGCATATATGAGCAGAGTATGTATAAATGATCTACCCCCTGTCATACTTTCCCTGGTATCCACCATCATTGGTTTAGGGATGTCAGAAAATACATCCCTCAGTGGTCTTTGTTCCTTCCAACATATTTGCTAGTGTTTATTCAACCTAGATTTTAAATCTTGCAGGAAAAGGTGCCTCCACCATCCCTGGGAAGGTAGTTTTAGTAGAAGAAGCCTGATAAAATGTATTGTTTGCAAGTCATAACCTTATAATCCATTCATATGGAGGGAAGGGGTGCCTGTGTGTATGACTATATTTACAAGTGCTAAAAAAATTTTTTATATTTTCATCAGGATATTTAAACATTCACATCTTTTATTTGAAATCCTGTTCTTACAGAGCTCTTGGAAAAGTCTCTGGCCCTCTTAAACAAAAGCCATGAACTGACTGGATTCATAGATGAGTTCAAATCTGATGGGCCAAATATAAATCCTGAGTTGATTCAAGGAGCTCACAGCAGCTGCTTGAAAATTGACAGCCTCCTTGAACTATTACAAGACAGAAGAAGGCAACTGGACAAATATCTTAAGCATCAACGCCAAGGGCTGAAGCAGGTTCTTCAAATCTGTCAGTGGCATCACCAAGAAAACCAGGTATGAAGCACAGTATTTAGGCCAGCTCCAGTAAAATCAGAAGACTGCTTTACATGGTGGAGAAAGTTACGGGAAAGGGGATTTAAATATATTTTAAAGCAGATATTTCACACCTTCTTTCTAGGTTTTCTTAACATTTGAGTGCTTGGCTGCAACTTCAGTGTCATCTTAATGTAGGGTATGTTTAAATGTGATATTCTAAGTTAAAAAAGAGGGAAAACAGAAATTCTATCATGTTGGTAACATTCTGACCCTTCACACAGCTTGGAAGCAGGGTTTGGCCTTTTGGATTTTCAGCACAGATTTCTAAATATTTGAGCTAGTAAAGTGATTGGTAACAACTAGTAGACTGTTTTCCTCTTGTTGGATCAGTTAATAGAAAGGACAGGGGAGCATTCTTCACTGGTTAATGATCTGTTTGTCTCCATAACACCAGTGTTCTCCTACTTCCCTCTTGTCATATCCTCCTCATCCTCCCTTGTTCTGTCCCCATCCTTCTCTCTTACTTACCAACTCTTCTGCATGTGTCCTGCTTTCTTTCCTCTTTTGCCTATGCATGCCCAAGATCCTCCTCTCTGTACTCAGTCCCCACTCCCCTCTTGTTCTTCTCTACTCCCTCACCCTGACCCTTTGCACTCCTTTAAATTTAAATCAGGCATTTTTCTTTCTCCTCTCACCTCTCCTCCATGCTGGTTGGTTCCACTTTCCAGCAGGGACAATTAAATGTCTCTGTTTTCATTCCCCTTGCCTGGTGCCCCCGCAACTTCTTAAAGCCAGGGAAAGTCCTCCACAGAAAACATGGTCAAGGAGGGTGAAATCTTTAGAGTATCTATTTGCCAGACTGCAACAGATCTCTATGAAAAATTCTGTTTACACATACTCACTAAAAGCTCATAACTCTGCTAAATTTGGGTGAGTTTTCACGAGGGCCACAGACAGCCCCTTGGCTTTACTCAAAGCGCTCATCTCAAATACCAAGACAATCCTTCTTCTTAATGTAACAATTATAAGAGAAGAAGAAAATATATGTATTTCCCTAACGTCATTCTCAGAACACAGAAAATTGTACTCTGAATGGGTCGTGTTTGGCAAAATAAATGGAAAGTTCTGTAAGTTCCAGCCCCATGTATAAGTTTTACAGTTGGGTACCTTACCTATCATAAACACTATCATCTGATTATCCAAATAAAGTACTATATAATTGGCAAGGTATAGAGGGGGCTTCAAAATTTATTCTGAAACATCATATACTACTAATGTCCACAGGCAAGATTAGATTTATCAGTTTAATGACTAGATGGATCAGCATACAGTATGCTGTGTTCCTATGGAAGTGTCATGATTTCATCATCTGGCTACAGAATAGTGGGGGGCAGCTGGTCACTCACTGGGAACCGGCTGCTCGGCTGCTCCCACAGCCTGTGCATTCAGGCTCCAAGCCCCCCCCTCCCCCCCGCACCAGACAGCATGCACATTCGGTTCTATCATGACCTAATCTAAAGCACTTTCAATAAAGCACTGTACTTAGTGTGCTTCTGCTTCAGGCCTTTAGAACACCTGTATTTAGCCACTGATACTACTTTGATTGCTGTTTTGGGGGAGGAGAGGGGGTGTTGTTTGTCACCAAGAAAATGTCCAGAGAAAAAGTATTCCTTGAAAAGTAATGTTTCAATTCTTAATATCCTATGATAATTTCTCAGTGGCTACATCTGAAGTATCCAAATCAGTTTAACTAAATGGATCTTATTTTCCTAGAAAATTTGTTTTTTCCAAATCCTTCCTTTAAAGTTGGAAGAATTGTGAGTCACTTGTGAAATTTTCTTCACATACACCCTCATCTTCACCTATGCTTTTTCTTCACCTATGCCCTCATCTTGACAAATCCAAATTATTTTAGTTATTTGCATATGGGAGAGGGGTTTCAGACATAATTATTTCCAGGAAATACTGAGCATCCTACATTAGGTTAGAGAGAAAAAAATATGCTGACTACTAAATTTACTTTAAAAGAAGGCTTCAGAATCTCCAAAACAAGTATTCAGGATTCCACAGATGCATCTCAATCAGGTCTAAGGAGGCAATCCTCCCCCTCCATGCGGCACTGGTCAGGCCGCAGCTGGAGTACTGTGTCCAGTTCTGGGCGCCGCACTTCAAGAGGGATGTGGACAACATGGAGAGGGTCCAGAGGAGGGCCACTTGCATGATCAGGGGGCAGCAGGGCAGGCCCTATGAGGAGAGGCTACAGGACCTGAAAGTGTTCAGCCTCCACAAGAGAAGGCTGAGGGGGGATCTAGTGGCCTGTTACAAACTAGTCAGGGGGATCAGCGGGCATTGGGGGAGTCCCTGTTCCCCCGAGCACCGCCAGGAGTGACCAGGAATAACCGTCACAAGCTGGCAGAGGGTAGATTTAAGCTAGATATCAGGAGGCACTACTTCACGGTCAGGGTGGCTAGGATCTGGAACCAACTTCCAAGAGAAGTGGTGCTGGCTCCTACCCTGGGCATCTTTAAGAGGAGGTTAGATGAACACCTTGCTGGGGTTGATTGACCCCAGTGCTCTTTCCCGCCATGGCAGGGGGTCGGACTAGATGACCTACTCAGGTCCCTTCCGACCCTAGAAACTATGAAACTATCTCCATTAACAAGGCAGAATTTCATAAATTGGGGAAATTTACTATATAATTCCTGCTCAAAGATGGATAATTATCTTTGATTTTTTTGATTAATATATTGTATTCAGTCTGCCTGGCTGAAATGAATCTGGAATCTTTAAGGAATCATGGAAAATCTGTGCTAGCCAATTGCTGCTTAGTGGCTTCTGTGATCTGGGGCAGAAGTTCAATAAACTGATTGAACCTAAATCAGCTAAGTCTGATACTATATCCATCCAGGTTTCTCTTAAACCAGTTTCAGTCATTTTGAAAGTGGTTTATATGCATTGAACTTTTGTTGTGTTACAGATTTTAACCACTTTCTGATCACTTATACTGGTTTATGTGTAACTTCTGTCCCTAGCCTCAGTGTTCAAATCCATTTCTTAATAGATGTTGACATCATAAAACCTGCCATTACAACTGACATTACTGGCAACCTTGCTGATCATTTCAAGAAAGGAGCCATAGCTTGAACAGAATGCTAGTTGAATTCAACTTCTCATTTGTACATGTGGCCCGAAGTTGACATAGGCTAACATGCAGGTTATAAGATTGTTTTCACCAGACTAGAGTTTTCTGTATCTGAATAAGATATTATTAGCATGCTACCTTACATGATTATTATTTTAAAACACAATTAAAGAAAAATAAATATTGGGATATAAACTGGTAGATTTTTTTCTTTGTTTTAGACTTTATGCATATACATTTTAAGGACATGTGGCAAAAGTTTATTCTCAAAGCTTCTTGGTGGACCTGAATTCTGCTCTCTGTATGTGTGCTGAATTTTCATTAATGCCAAACAAAGCTTACATACTCCATTTGTATGCTACATTTATATGCATAGCTTAAATATTACACATAAGCAGGACAATGTGTTTTGCTCCCATTGACATTAATGGGAGTTCAGGGGATGTAGAGAGAGCACAATATGAGAGCCAAGCTCTGCTGTGCAGATCTGAGAGTGGATTTTTACCCTTAATACTGCCTCTGTTTTTTTAAGATTAAACGTAAAAAACAGAAATCTGGCTAATCTGTTTTTTTTAAAGCAAAGTCAAGCAATTGCAAAGATCGTAATGTGTTTCATAGCTCTAAACAACCAAAAATGCAACATCTTCCTTCTACCTCTAATTGGAATGTGATGGTCTGTGATAAGCATCATCATACCACATTTTTCTTTATCAGTATTTCCAATGTGTAAAAAGGTACTTTGCTTTACATTTAAGGAATACCTAACCTTCCTTTTCAGAAACAGCAGCGTCTTTTATTTCACTGATAATCTCCTTCATTAATGAAAATCAGAGGCAGATTGGGCTATTTTGTGCATAATTAATTATCTTGGCAAGAAGATTTATGAATGTAATTTTTCTCAGTTGCTCCAATCATGCTTATATGTGACAAACAGATAAATTAAACTTAAGCTATTCAGGGTCCTTGGGTAAAAGGTAGTGTCAAGGGCACAAATAAGAGCTAAATAAGACTTATGGGGTAGTGAAGCACACAGATCACCAGTCCATGAAGGAGTACAGAGAGGACATGATTTTGTTTAGAAGGAAAAATATAAAATGCTATTCATTTTCAGAAGAGATAACTCTCAGCTTTCTCATCCCTTTCCTGGAGTTTTCATGTATTAGAGGGAAGCATACAGGAGACACAAGGGAGGGTTGTGATCTGCAGCTGGGATTTGCAAAGGAGCCCACCGAGCCGAACTCCCTTAGGTCCCTTTGGATTTCTGCACCTTCCCAAGCACTCAGGCCT